TTGAAGTTTGCCCTCTTAAAATCTAGGGCCGCTGCCTTACTGCATGCCTTTGCCACCTTGCGCTGGATGGTGAATTCCAGCAGGCGATGATCGCTGTCGCCCAGGTGGTCGAGCACCCGCAGCCCCCTCACCAGGTCATCACCCGTGGCCAGCACTAGGTCCAACAAGGCATCCCCCCTGGTGGGGCTGTGCACCTCCTGGGTTAGGTGGAGGTCCTGCACTCTGTCTAAGAACCTACGTGAGTGTTCTGACCTGGCTGAGTGCTCTTCCCAGCAGATGTCCGGGAAGTTCAGGTCCCCCATGACTACCACATCCTTAGCCTTCACTACCTATGTAAGCTGACCCAAGAATTCCTGGTCAAGCTCCATTCCCTGGTTGGGAGGTCTGTAGTAGACTCCCACCGTTAAGTCCCTTTCCCCTCAACTGCCTTGTACCCTAACCCAAAGCACTTCAGAGTGCCCCTCCCCTGACTCTTTACTAATTGACGAGGATGTGTATTCCTCCTTAATATAGAGTGCCACGCCCCACCTCTCTTTCCTATCCTGCCCGTCCTATACAGCCTATAGCCCTTGACATTCACCTCAGTTTAATGCAACTGAGATAACACTATAGGGATGTGTATACACATGAGCAGTCAAACTAAACCTCTTAAAAGGAAAAAAAAAAGAAGATTTTATTGCCCATCAACCCATTCTTACCTCCCCACAATGATCCTTTAACACTTCTGCTCCAAGTCTACTTTTCTATTTATTCAAGACCCTGCAAACAACTCTCATAGGAAATCAAATATTTTATTTTTAATAACTGAAAACAAAAGAAACTCAGGTAAACAAAAGAAAAGTATCTACACATAGTAAAGGGGGAGAACGAAGTCTCACGACAGAGTTTCTGAAATAAATGCTGACATTTTGGCTGCTTAAAGATGTGGGGGGTGGGGAAAAAACCAAAACAGCGCTTTACTTTCAGCTTGGTGCACCCCTACACTGAATGCAGCACAAGCCCAGAAGAGGCAATACATCCATTTGAACTGGCTTGCCCAGAGTCTGTATATCTCATGTGTTTCAGCAGGGCTTTTTGGTGCTTTTAACTAATAGCTGATTGAATCAGTTATTTGATAAAAGCTCCAAAAAGCCCCACTGAAGTGCGCGAGGTATACAGACACTGGAGAGCCGGGTCAAACTGATGTGACGCTTCTTCCGGTATAACGCACTGGGTTTTTTCCCCCCCTGCGTCTGTCAGCATCCTTTATTCTTACATGTGGAGTCAGAAACTTTATAGCAAATGTTACCATATAGCAATAGTTCTCAACCTTTTTAAACTTAAGGCGCCCACCTCAGAAATTTACTTATTTCTTGATTACAGAAAACATAATAGAACAATTCTTCTGTTGCAAAGAACACAAAGACCATAACAGGTCAGAATGTCTTTGACACTAAGGGTTTATATTTGAAATTGTTTGCCTTATCTTGTGAATCACATGTAGGCAAGTGTACAGCCAGCAGTGCTAATACTGCAAGGGATTCCATGCACCCCTAACAGGATGTAACTGTACCCCAGGGTGCCATACTGAGAGTCACTACTTTAGAGGCTTATCAGTAGGGCCTGGTTTAAATCACGGGCCCAGTTTAGAGCGTGGAGTCTCCTTTAATCTTGGAGTGTGTCTTCCTCTGTGTCCCCTGTGTTAGCAGAGGGTTCCATTGGCCTTGCTGCTTGTTGCTTGCTCCTTATAGCTGAAGGCAAAAACCACAGTTTTAAATATGCTGCGGTTTTTGCCTTCCGCCACTTGCTGCTGACCAGGCGGGAGGCAAAAAATGCATCAAATTTAAAACCACGTTTTCCACCTCCTGGCCATCAGGAGCGAGCAGTGAGCAGCAGGGCCCCTCTGCCAATCAGCAGAGCTTAAAGGAACCGTAAGATTGAAGGAGCCACCACGCTGCAAGCTGGGCCCACAATTGAAACCAGGCCCTACCTATCAGTTATAGTAGTTCCTTTCTATTGCATTTGTGATTAATTCTTTAACCAGATAAAATTCTGAAAAATTACTGATTTTTTTCATATCTTAAAATTCATAGTCCCGACAGTAATGATTCCAGTTTGGATAGTCCAGTGCAGAGGACGCAGCATAGGGGCTGAGACCAATGTTCAACTCCTGGCTCATCTGGAGACTTCTTATGTGACCTTTGGCAAGTAATTTATTCTACCTAGGACCTCAGGTCCTCAAGAGGTTAGTGTTTCTTCCATACAGCAGTATTGTGAGGCAAAAAAATAATGACAAATGAAAGCCAACTATAGATAGTACTTGCTTTTTCCAGGATTCAAAAGATCATAGGCTAAGTTAATTCATTCATTTACTTAAATAGAGTTTTAACGAAGGAGAAATACAGCTTTTAGAATGTAAAGAACCACACTAGGTTCCAACTAAACCTTGCTACACAGGAACTTGATTGGACTGGTAGAGACCCCAGTCAGATACAGAGGAAGACGTTTCTAAAGGTATATCCATGTAGGTCCCACTGTTCTAAGGTGGTAGCACTCGACCAAGGTAACGGCACTCAACCTTTTCACCCCAATGGGCCAGAGAAGTGATGCAGGCACGAGAGAACCCCAAACACCAGGATCAAGCCTCATGTTGCCTGGATATCTAGCACACAGGGTCACAGCCTGTGGGTTTCCCCATGGACCTGTAGGTTGCTCTGCAGGCTGGAAGACACTGTGCTCAGGGCTGGATCTGGCCTAGGGGCCAGGGCCTGAACATCCTACTTTTAAGGCAGAGGTTCCCAGTCCCCAGGCCATGGTCTGATACTGGGCTGTGAAGGGTTGGCTGCTGGACCAGAAGCCTGCAGTATGCTGGTGTATAGTTTGCTGGTCCATGGTCACTTCTAGTCTGCGGTCTAAAATGGCTGAGAACCACTGTTCTAAGGGTACCTTGATGTGGGGCACCCCTACCAAAGGAACATGTAGGGGAAAGCTGTGAAAGAACTGAGTCTGCTTCATGGAGGCTCTTTCTGCAGGGTGTTCATAGCATGGGCAGCCTGGTCCACAGAAACTTGTTCTTTGTGTTGATACTGAAAATAAGTTACTTTGAAACAGGAGATCTTCACAGCATCAGCTGTGACATTATGAATACTGCTACTCACTTATCCTTTATCTCAAAGCGTTCATGAAGCCATCTTCTCATATACATCTGTTCTTCTGGAATATCCTTCAATTCAAGTCGATCAATATAAATATGAACCCTTGGACATTGCTGACACAGAAATTCTAACAAAAGAAAACAAAACAAAAAATAAAAACAGAGTATGCTAAGTATCTTTTAAAGAGTAGAAATGTCATTTACCTTCTACTGAAAATTTTACTTTACGTCTCTACGAGCCAGAGTCTTTACAGCCAACCTACCATTTTCAAAAGCACCACGTCTTTTAAGGGTATTAAGCGTCTTACAAGATTTAGAGGCAGGGCTCAGCTGTACTGCTCTAATATTGCAATGTGTTGAATGAAGCACTCCAAGCCTGCTTCTCACATGCTCCCTCTGAAGCTGGAAACAACATAACCACCTTAGTGCAGATACGTCTAGGGAGCTACTTGTTTCCAGTTTAGGTACTAGCACTCAGAGAACAGAACAGAACAGAACAGGTCCACTTTGTAAACCATCTGAGTATGGCACCAGGGAGTCACCGTGGAGACATATACCTTAAGTAACAAAGGGGCTTTTGACAACTTTATCCGCTGTCTGATCCAGAATGGGAAACTGCCCAATAATCCGCTGTACAAACTCTACAATACTGTGCATGGGGAATATTCCTGTTTTGATTCCAACACATGTTAACAGCGTTCATTGATGTGTTTTGTGTGCAGACTAAGTCCGTCAGTGGAACTTTCTAAAATACGTAAAAATGGATTGTCAGGAACAAATACGTCTTTTTTCTACTAGATCTCAAACACCACTGTAGCATATACCATATTCATCCAAATCCAAGCTGAAGACTTTACCCACATTATCCAATATTCACCCAAATCCAAGACTCTGAATTTAAGATGACCCCAGTAATTAGATTCTACACTTGGGAAATTATAAATAGAATCCAACTAGTGGAAGGTCATCTTAAACTCACCCCCACCCCCTGGCCCAACTGCTGCAGCACGGAAAGCTGTGGGAGGGGGCAAGGGGCCAGACCCCAACCCTGCACCCCTGTGCCGGTACCCCTATACACCCCCCTGCCATGTGTCCCATGCCACCCATCCCTCCATACCTGCATCTGCCCCC